GACAGTTTGAGTTCTTGACATCTGAAGCAAACTAGAAAAGGGAAGTTCAAATTATTAATTCATTTCTAACCACACGCGGATAATCACTAACGTGTTATTAAAAGCATTGTGGGGGTGTATTTCCACAAATCTCATATTTTTGCATTAGTGAATTCAAATTTGTTTTTACAAAATATCAAAAGATAAATAGGCAGTTTGTCACACGACCGAAAATACACTTCTTTCGAAGTTAAATTTACCTATTTTTTACAGTGTTTACCAATAGTTTATTTTGCAATAAACCGCCTGCTGAGTTGCGGAATTTAATAATAAATAAATATTAATTATTCTGGGGAGCCGCGGAATGTTGAGCTTTATATCGCGGTGTTGTTGAATTGTACTATAGCCAGTGGCGTATCGAGGGTGTGGCAGGCATGTTCGGATGGGGCCGCAAAAAGACGGGAAAGGTAAAATGTTTCAATAAAATAATTTCAAATCGGAAATAATTAAAACTCGTATTTTTACTAGAATAACAACGTACAAGTACCTCAATTTAACAACTAGAAATTATCAGTCAACGATCAAGGTGGCGCATTTATAAACTTTGCATGGGCGTCATTTTAGTAGATACGCCACTGAACATAGCTTACTATAATGAAATAAACATAAGTAAAACAAGAGAGCTATGCTCAAATATATGGACACGTAGAACTACTTGGTCGATGCACACTACATATGTGATACACAGAAGATATTTGACCAAATTGTCGAACAACCGTATTTTTTTTGATAAGAATGCTGATTCTATTATTAACTTTCGTTATAACGATGATTCTAATTTGAATTACTGAATCTACAAAATCATGAATTAAATCGTGTAGGGGCAAGTAATAGCCTTCTGGAGGAATTTTTTATCTTTAACCACTGAAAATTTCAAAGCAATTGGTCCAGTATTCGAAGAGAAAAGCGATTTCTTTAAAACGTGTTGACGGAGACAAATAATAACAATAACAACAAAATTTTGAAACGATCGTTATGTCCACTACGTGTCCCAAATGTAAGTTTATTCAAATCGTTTGTGTGGTCGTTAATCGAATCACGACTGTGACTGCGACTGTAAATACAAATAGCAATCGCGTGGAGGTAGGTGACCGTTTTCGTTGGTTATTTGATGGAAATGAGTCGATGAATGGATTCTGAAATTCCTAATTGCCAAAATAAAACGTGACAGCTAGCAGCTCGAAAACGTGGTTTTTCAAGGGTCTTGCGGGCTCTATGTATGATCCTTTTTTTACATTTGAATAGGGGGTTCCCCGCCCCCAGGACTGACAGCGAACGGTTTGGTAAAAATGAAACGTACTACTACAATTTTGAAATGAAATAATGTAAAAATTATGATACGCCATGCTCTTTAATATTTTCCACACCTTATTATTTTTCTTCCAAACGGCTCTCATTTTTCTCCGAAGAGTCTTGGTACGGTTTAAACTGAAATTTCACAAGGAGCCTCTAACGTCATCAAATGACGTCATACTGCTCAATATTTCTATTCGAAATCTTTCATACAACAATTTTCCGAATTCTCGTCACTGTAGAAATTAAGTTTATTTACGAATTTTTTTAACAGTACAATCAAGGCCAAGCCTTTTTGTGAAATTCTTAAACGTGAAAATAGCAAAATTTTACATTTTTGCGGCGAATCAGATTTAGTACACAATCAACCTTTTGTAGTATTTAAAGATAATCTCGTTGTAAGTAAATGACTATCGGAAGCGATGAACGTGTACAACGAAATTTCTATGTCGTGAATTTTAAAAAAGACGAAAGCTTACAGATATAAATCTATATGAATATGAAGCAAGACGTTATAATATATATGGTGTCCACAAAGTCTCATAAAATTGCAGTTGCAAGGGAATTTTTTTGATGCCATATATTGTTTTGGCCCTCACAGATGTATTAAATTAAGTAAAAATAATTGAACAATTATTGATTAAAAAACAACAAACGGGGTTAAAATATTTTGATAACTGACTTTATAACAAAATTGAAAGTGTTAAGGAACTTTACAGACACCTTGTATATCAGTTGCCAAATTTTTGGACATTTTTGAAAGATTTTGCACAAAGCAAAGCCTCACTCAGAAGTAAAATGAAATTCATCTTTGAGCAAATTTACGGCGAATACTGAAACACTAATAGATATCGAAACCATATAAATGATGGTGAAATTACGAAAATACCGAAATAAAATTTTTTGTGGCGAAGCGGTTTCGTGTACAACAAAAATTGACTTGGACTTTCAATTTTTTGAATTCCTAAAGACGAAAGGTTACGGAAAAAAAACTATATGAATAAGAAGCAGGACGTTATAATATATAAAGTATTGTTTTGGCCGTCACAGATGTAACGTAAAAATACTAAAATAACAACAAACCTTGTTAAGATATATTGAGAACTGACTTTATAACAAAATTAAAATTGTAAAGAGACTTTACGGACAGCCTGTATATCCGTTGCCAAACTGTTGGAAGGTTTTTTAGAGAATTTGCAAGCAACCTCAGGATGACACACGCATACGTAAAAGATATTCATCTCCGATCAAATTTACGGCGATTATACTGAAACGCTCGTAGATACCGAGACCATATAAAATGATGGTGAAATTACGAAAATAGCAAATTAATACATTTTTGTGAAGAATTCTCATACCATCCATCTATTGTAGTTTTCATGGATAATCTCGTTGTAAATAGGGCAGTTTTTTTATATGTTTTTCAATTCTTTGCCATGAAATTTTCTCAAAATCGGTGAAATTGAGATAGTTTTTGGGGGATTAAAACATAAACCTGAGAATTGAGATGTTCCTAAAGGGTGACTCGAAGAACGAATTCGATAAAAGGGAATTTTCGACCTTTCGAATATTCAAAATAGAATATTCGAAGTGAATTCATGTTATTACTGTAAAATAGACTCAAAATATTTGTAATAAAATTCATCCTATGCTTTGTTGAGAGTACAGTACAGTCTTCCATCTTTCTTGGGTGTTGCGGATACCCATTTGGCGATAGCTTATATTAACGGTTAGCAGGGATGTGCAACCTGTGACCCGCGGCCCACAAGGAAATCATATGCGGCCCGCTAAACAAGTTCTCAATTGAATCTAGTATGTGCGAGTAATTCCAATCCCTTTGCGTTGCATAGCCTATATCTGAGCTTGTGTAAAAGAATGTCACCGACACAAAATTTTTGTATCTGTAACTACTGGAAAGCCTATGTTAAGTGAAGGTGCGGCCCGCGGGGTTTCGCCCAGTTATTTGTATCTGGCCCTCCAGTAATAATAGTTGCACACCCTTGTATTGACCGTCCCTTCCATATTTTAATAATGCTAGTGCGGTGTGGAATATTCACGGTACGATATTGTCTACCCATTTGGCCGTAACCTACACACCGTGATGCAAATGGTGTCGGTCTAGAGATCTTTTACCTACGACATCAGTATAGTTTGGTCTAACTCAGTGCTCCGCCGCGGCGCACCGGTGTGCCGCGAGACGATGCCAGGTGTGTCGCACAGGAATTGCAACTTTTCTCTTCTTTTTACGATTTTTTTTTTGTCTTTTGTTAATTTTGCGTTAGTCCACCACTCTACTCTACTAACGCAAAGTTAACCTGCTTTTACGTTAGCTTAAGCGACACCAATTCAAATTCCTGACACCCCCCACTGCGCATTTGTGACGTAACAAGGAGTAGGCCTATATGACAAGCATGTATATTGTACAGTAAAGCCTATTGTCGAGGCTAAAACATAGCACGTCTAGTAATCGAATACAAATAAAGTGCGAGTTTGCAGAATCAGTGCCCAGTGGTCGGTCTTTGATTAAAAGGTCAAGGAACGTTAAAGTTTAGCAAAATGGATAAATTAAAAAAAAAAAAGCTGATACTGAGCAACATATTGTACTTAGCAGAAGCAACGTTGAAAAAAAAAAGAATTTTTGTCAAAAGGAAATACAGGGGAGATTACGTCAAATATGAATTTTCTTGCTGTGGTAACGGAGATGCTCCAAAACCAGTCTGGGTTATTTGAGGGGAGCAACTTTCAAATGAAGCAATGTTTCCTAGTAAACTTATGCGCCACTTAAATACGAAACATGCCGTTCATGCGCGCAAGAATATAAATTATTTCCAGCGGTTGTTAAGTCAAAATAAGAAGCAAGAGTGCTCTGTGAAGTCGTCTTTTACAGTCTCCGAAAAAGCATTAGAAGCTAGTTATCGTGTTGCAAAATTGATTGCGCGTCATGTAATGATCCTAATATAGAGCGATTGTGTTCAATAAAACAACCACAAATCTCTCATTGTTATATGAACATAAAACAAAGTTACACCTTGTATTTTTTGTTTATTGTGGTGTGCCGTCAAATTTGGCAAGTTTTATAAGTTAGAAAAAGGTTGCGGAGCACTGGTCTAACTCACTCATCTCTGGGCCATCGGTTCTTAACCAGTGGGCCATAGCCCACAGAAACTTATTCAGGTGGGCCTCTAACCTATTAAAAATTGGTAGAGTTATTAATAAATTAGTTAAACATTGATTGGTGCTCCAGAAGTATGCACACCAAGATGTCGCACAACCTGAATCCTAACCGGTACACACCTACTATGTTCAGATTGTGCGCCATCTTGGTGCGCATACTTCTGGAAGTCTCATTGATTATAGTGGCAATGAATGCATGATGCTGTTTTTGCTGCAGAGTGGTAATCTCGTTTAATTATTGAATTAAAAGTGTCTATTTGCGCGGAAAAAATTCTTTTTTTTTGTTTTTCCTGTAGTTTTTCTCTTGCATGTGAACGTTACAGGGCCACATAATTTTTGTGCAACATAAATGGGCAACGACTAAAGGTTGAGAACCACTGGTCCAGAAGCATCAAATGCCATAACCCCAACATTTCAATTTTGAGTGCTTGTTTTTTGTTATCAATTATCATACATACGGGTTCTTCATTATCTCAATTATTTCTTTTTCAAAGGGTTTGGCTTCGACTTGGACATCGGCGGAATACGAATATAGTGATCCACGCTACGAACAACACACTGACAACATTTTCTGGCAAGCTTCTTACAACGGAACTAAACCATGGTAGTTTTCTTAATTGGCGTTCGCTCATACCGAGGCTTCAGACGAGTGGTGTTATTTAACGGTTCCATTACATTTGAACCCACGTACATTTGAACCCATGACAATTGCACCTGTATGCTATTGCACCTATGGGATTTTTTTTGTTTCACGGATAGTTAAACCCATACTAACCCTAACCCATGGGTTATAGCACCCGCATATAGATTGAACCCGTGGATATACGCATGGGTTCAAATGTACATGGGTTCAAATGTACGGTCACCTTATTTAACTACTTTGTTATGTTAGATCTGACTTGGTCAAATCCGGCCCATTGCGTAATTCAATCTGGCCCGCATGGAGCTGTCACAACCAAACTAAAATTTGATGTTTTATCTAAATAAAAGCACGAGGAATTTGTTGAGATTGCAACTGAATGTAGTTCAGGCACGAGGCTTATTGTTTTCACTTTTGCTTTTGTAACACTGCGAGTATTGTTCATAAAATGTAACTTTTTACGTAACACTTACATGGCCGCCTGTCTTGGTGGGCAAAATTTTTGGCCCTGGTCCAAATACCTCGCCCATCCGTGTGTTAGATGCATGAAAATTCCCAGAGAGTCAATGCCATGCATATAAAACAAATACCTGACTAAGTTATCCAATACCGGTACCCGCCATTGACTGGTGGCCGGGAACGGGGCCCACGGTTCGCCATATGATTGATCCCTCCTATTAAGTCGTCTATGACTACAAATTAGGACAAAATAATCAGTCAACAATGTACATTCGGATTTGCTGCCCTTATAAAGTGTTGAGGCCGATTTACCAAAAAACTTTAGTTTTAAAAAATGATCAGAAAAATTGTCGTATACAGGGTGTCCATAAAGTCGCTTTAAAATTGTAATTTTGTTATGAAGTCAGTTCTCAATATACAGGGTGTCCATAAAGTCTCTTTACAATTGCAATTTTGATATGAAGTCAGTTCTTAATATATCTTAACCAGGTTTGCTGTTTTTTAATCAGGTATTGTTCAAGTATGTTTACTTGAACTTTACTTGGTGCTCCCGAAGTATGCGAACCAAGATGGCGGACATCGGAACGTAACATGGGTAACAGGTTAGGGTTAGGCGATGATTTTTCTCCAATTTTTCTTAATTTAGTCCTATTATCAGTTTGAAGACTAGCCAAGAGCCTCCCGTAGTATTTATACCTAAAATTATGGCCTAACCCTAACCTAGTACACATATTACATTCCGATGTCCGCCATCTTGGTTCGCATACTTCGGGAGTCCCCTTTACTTATACTTCATTTAACATCTGTGAGGGCCATAACAATATAGGGTATCGATAAATCCCCTGTTATTGACAACGTATACAGGGTGTCCATAAAGTCTCTTTACAATTGCAATTTTGTTTTAAAGTCGGTTCTCAATATATTTTACCCAGGTTTGTTGTTTTTTAATCAGTAATTGTTCAAGTGTTTTTACTTCATTTAATGCATCTATGCGGACCAAAACAATATGTGATATCGATAAATTCCCTTTGTTATTTTGAAAAATTATTTTTAAGCCTTTGAATAACCCATATATTCAAATTTAGATCCCAATCCAGCGTTCCGCACTCAGACTCACCGTCGACATCGGCGTGAAGCATTCCAGCGAGCAACTCGTGGAATCGAGTATTCACCTGTCAGTTTGGTTGAAAAACGCGGGATGGGACCATCCGGGACTTTGGATGACGTCACAACCGAGAAAGAAGTGGTGCAGCATCCAAGGATAGCGTTTTCAGCGACGTGCACTAAAAGCATGATTGGGGGACATATGGCGGATACCACCTTATCGCTAGATGGCGTTATGAGCCCCGAAGCTGCCCCCAATGGGAGAATCGCTTTCGATAAAATTCTTGTAAACATTGGGGGAGGGTTCGATGTGGAAGAAGCAGAATTTATAGCGCCCGCTAACGGTGCTTATTTTTTCGCGTACAATGTTGGTAAATTTCCTCGAAAGAAGCTTTCCGTTATGCTGATGAAGAATTTCAACGAAGTCCAGGTTTGTCTCTCGTACACGTTTTGAATGATTAATCTAAAATGTGTGAGAGGGGAAAACGTGTTATTTAAGTAAATGGATATCGGTTTCCATATTTTAAAAATCTCGTAATTCTCTCCTTTGTAATTTTGTTTTTGATAAATGAAAATAAAAGACATCCCCCGAAAATAAGCCCTAGTGTTGTTTTTCGAAGAGAATTGAAATAAGACACTGTCTTGTTTTCGGGGAAACACGTTAGTAAGGTGGTTTCCACAGCCTTACAAGTATTGCATAGAAGTTCCTTGAGTCTGTGGAATGTTTTATTCGACTTCACCAAAAAGTTTGAAAACAATTGAAACCATATCGTATAATTACTTACATAACCTAATGCCAATATTTTTAACATTTTCAGTCAATTATCTACAACGATAGCAAGTCACGTGCTCGTGAAATCCAAGGTCAAAGTTTAATGCTCAGCTTGAAAGAAGGCGATAAAATATGGCTCCGAAGTTACAACGAGAAAAACTATGCCGTGTACAGCAACCTTGGGAACTACATTACTTTTAGTGGTTATTTGGTTTATCCTTTATAGAGCAAATAAGGAACTTCTTCTGTTTGTAAAACTGAAACCAGTCTGTGCCATTTGTGAGAAAATCGCTTGAATTTTATTCGAGATATTATAGAAAACGTATATTTGTGGGAACAAAATCGCAGAAATGGTCCTATTAACATAATTCAGTATGTGCGGTTTGTGGGAAAATCGCGCTAGTAGTCTTCGAGGTATAAAACTGAGAAAACGTATATTTGTGGGAATAGAATTATATCAGTTTGTACCATTTGTGGGGAAATCGCGACAACTGTATTTGAGATGTTAAACTGAAATGCTACATGTGCGCGAAAAAACACGTAAACGGTCCATTTTGTGGAGAATGTAGCCTGATTGCTTCATCACTACATTGTGCGTGGAAAATTGGAATCAGTTTGTGCCATTTGTGGGAAAATTGCGTGAATTGTTTTTGAATGTTGAACTGAAAAAGTTACGTTTGTGAGAATAAAATTGACTTTTCCGCCTTTTTTTCGACACCTTTACAATTATCGTAGCATTCTAGTATTTATATATGAATACAGTTTGTTTTGTGTCTAATATGTTCATATTTACGATCAGAAATAATACTAACACATTTTCTTTGACCGGATTAACAAAATTATTTATTGTAAATCCGCATCCCGTTTAGAGGAAATTTTGATTTCAGATCCGAACAATAAGAAAAATAAATTTTGATAATAAAAACGTAATTTTAATATACCAGGTTTCTAACGCGTAGACTAGGATTATTACTGCGCACTCTACACACATGCTTACAATTGAAGGTCAATTTGTTTGTAGGGACCGATGGATTAACCAAGTCTTGAACTTTGGATGATAACCCCGGCGACGAGTTCATCGCCCAAATCCAAGTCTATTCGCTGTACGGGTTGGCTAAACACAGAACCAAGTTTATTTAAAACATATTCTAAAAGGAAAAAAAGTGTCCTAAATCACTGGAACTTTTGGGGGTACCCCTGAAGTATGTGAACCAAGATGGCGGACGCCGGAACGTAGTATGTGTACCAGGTCATGCCTTAATTTTTTTCCGATTTTCCTTATTTTAGTGCAATTAAGAGTTCGAGTACTAGCCAAGTGACTCCCGTAGTATTCGTATCTAAAATTATTGCCTAACCTGGTACACATACTACGTCCCGTTTCCCGCCGTCTTGGTACGCATACTTCAGGAATACACTTTTGGGTCCAATCACACACAAACAGGAATTCAAGTGTCAAACACATATTTTCTCCATTATCGTAGCCGTGAATCAGAAATATATGAGTTCTGTGTTTTGGGCGTCACTCTGTATTTGTATTTGGGGTATTGAAAATTAAACTTCCCCAGGCCCCTTGGTATGAATTTATGAAGATTCGTATCCATTGTGGCTATTTCATCTTAAAGTTTCATCATTATTTCCCTCTTGTTTTGTAATTTAGTTTAAATACGTTCTTTGGGAGATCAAAATATTCCTGCTCTGATCAATAGCATTGAAATGTATTCTAAATCCAAGTTTGGAGATTTTTTTTAAAGAAAATCTAGATATCATATTATTCAGCATATTCTTTTTTGCTTCATACAATTTATGTTTTCTGCATTTTAGTCAATAAAACATGCTATAAATTGTTTGCGATTTTGTTTTGTTCGGATTTCGGGTAAAACATCGGCCTTGTGACATCATAAATATAGTTTGACATTGCATGCAATATGAAATTCAGTTAAATACTTAACGCCAATCAGTAATCACCTCCTCGAATTTCGAGTTGATTTCAAAAATACTCAAGGCTCCAATAAAGCACAATGGCGCTAGAAAACTCGACATCATATTACCCTGCTTCCAGTCGCTTATACGATTCTAGCTGCGTTTCCATCTTTAGGTACTGAAAATTAATTGGTTACAGATGCGATTTTCTGCTAACAACAACGGCCTATGTAAAAATGAATGCGCGGGCCCTAGTCTGGGTAGAGAAAATAATATGACCAAAATTTAAGATTTCGTATAGGAAATGTATTCGTCTTTACAATTTATACATTTTAACCAAGCACTAATATGCTATTAAAGTAACCTAAAGTTTTGCCTGTACAGAACGAACACGCCGACTCGTATGATCACAATTTATAATGATTGAATTTAATTGACTTGGCTCGGGTCTACGAAAGTGCACCTGCCGTGGCCTGGTTACAACAATTAATTTCAGCAAAACTCTTCATAACTTCGTTTACAACAAGTTGCTGACACATACCAGCCATATGCCACAGCTACTGATGCATGTTCTATAGTTGGTCAAATGCATATGAATACTCACCGTTCCTCGCCTGTCAGTTATCTACAGACTATCGCACAGACGGTGTACGTCAACGGAAATTTTCAGTCCCTCTAGTTATTTAAAATAATACTAGTACATTTCGGCGCAATCACTTAATAGATACAAATACCGGCATACTGTAACCAACACCGGATTTAGACGATGCGAGGCCTATCTTTAACAATGACGTCATACGGACCGTGTATCAATTATTAGGCCACAATAGGAGCTTCACGTGACTGTAAAATTTGTGTAGACGTCATAAATCATTCATGAATCCAGTCGCAAGATGTCTCACGTAATCACAGTCCCTTATGGCATGCCATAGGTTCTCAAAGTGCTCCGTACGGAGCCCCAGGGCTCCGCGGGAGAAACCTAGGGGCTCCGCGTGCTATTTTATTATATTTCAAAATACTGACTTTGCTAATTTTGTAATTGTTCAAAGAAGCAATAACAGCTTTCGCGATTAAAAAAAAAATTTCAGTGGATAACGAGGTTTCTGTTGCGTAAAATATTCAATCCATGACTATTGAGAGCAACTTTTAAAATGTCTTGTCATAATAATTTAATTGTGCTTGTCGTTACTCACGTTTGATTCGAGATTACTATTAGAATTACTAAAATAAAAGATTACTATTCTAAAATAATATAAAATACGTGATAAACTGCCAACAATGAATAAATTGGAATCGTATTTTTGCGATCTTGGGAATTGTCAAACTTGATTTGTTCTTTCGCACTCGAGATTATTTTTAGGCAAGATATCAGCGTTACAAAAAGCCCTAGGTTGATGTTAAAGCTCAAAAAGTACAATTTACAATCTATGACCGATGCGGGCATATTTAAAATGAATTGTTCATTGGGTTAATTGTATTCAATGTAATAAATCATTACTTATCAAATTACCCCGGCAATCCACGGACATGAAATGAGAAACAAAGTTAAGTGAACGAAGTTCTTGTGGACTACCGTATATTCTGAACAACACTGTTATCATAGGATATTAGAAACAAAGTCATGCTTCCCAAAAAAGATAATACCTACTACCGGTGCCAGTAGTTTGAGAAGATATTTGTGCCCTTCCCGAATGATTCATAATCGTAATCCTGGCTGATTGAGTGGCAGTGTGGTAGATTTAGCGAATTTGACAAATTTGAGCCGTTCTTGCAACACTAACTCCCGCCGCGCAGGTCTGCCACTCAGATTCTTTGCAAGATATCGCGTTTAAAAAATCACAAGGTCTGGGCAAAATACGAACGATTGAAATTTATGTTATTGCATGCGGCTCCGTCGGTAGTCTCAGAATGGATAAAAGGTACATCGCGCGCATAATTGACTGTGTTTCGATTTCAGTTACTACGATGAATAAGCAAAGAAAATCCAACATAACACCAAATTTTGGGATTTACAATGTCTAAAAAAACTTTAATCTGTCGTGAGTCTGTTGAAGCAAAACTTAGTGTTTTGAAACCGTTTCAAGTTTTAGTTTTAATCATCCATAATGCCGCTTTTCAATCAAGGAATTTGAGTTGCGGATTTACCTCTTTATTAAATATTTTAGCCCTCCTCGCCGATCAAGCAATGACTATAATATGGTAACGATGCTTTCACAATGAACTCATAGTTCCCCACGAGAACAAAAGAGCAATTATCGTTATTAGCGAAGTCTTTTAAAAATATCAAAAGGGACAAGGTTCGAGTTCGACCCCTAATTTATTAATACGTTTGTCAAATGTCTCAAATTTACAGCCTTTATTTATATAATTTATCTGTGAAATTTAGATTTATTTATGGCTTGTATTGACCGGTATGTTAGTCGTTGTATTAACCCCATTAAAAAAGGTTTAGCTTTTATATTCGTAAAGTACCTTTAACTTACTCAGGAATATTTATCGGAAAGTAACAATTTTTAAATTTATTCCGGGGCTCCGTGAATAATAGTCAACCTTTTCACGGGCTCCGCAAGACCAAAAGTTTGAGAAACCCTGCCTTCCATAGGTTCTCAAAGTGCTCCGTACGGAGCCCAAGGGCTCCGCGAGAGAAGCACAGGGGCTCCGCGAGCTATTCGATTACTTTTCAAAATAATGACTTGGCTAATTTTGTAACTGTTCAAAGAAGCTTTGATGAATTTTGACAACAATATAGCCTCGAAATAAGGCAAAGAGGCGGAATTAAAAAATGACATTATTTTAAAGCTGGAGCGCAGCCAGGATTCTTAAGAGAGGGGTTTGAAATTAAAATCGGAAATTCCCGCACAACATTCTTCGCGATTAGAAAAACGGATAACGAGATTTTTGTTGCGTAAAATATTCAATTCATGACCGATGCAAGCATTAAAAGCGTCTTGTCGCAATAATTTAATTGTGCTCATCGTTACTCACGTTTGATTCGAGAGTACTATTAGGATTGCTGAAATGAAAGAATACTAGTCTAAAATAACATAAAATACGTGATAAACTGTCAACTCTAAATAAATTGGAGTCGTATTTTTGCAATCTTGGGTTTTGTCAAACCTGATCTGTTCTTTCGCATACGAGATTATTTCTGAGCAAGAAATCGCCGTTTAAAAAATCACAAGAGGCGGGCAAAATACAAACGATTGAAATTCATTTTATTGCATGTGGCTGCGTCGTTAGTTTCAGAATAAAAAAAGGTACATCGCGCGCACAATTGACTGTTTTTCGATTTAGCAGTTACTACGATGAATAACCAAAGAATACCTAACATAACACTAAATTTTGTGATTTACAATGCCTATAAAAGAGTTTTTAATCTGACCGTGAGTCTGCTAAAAACCAAACTTATAGTATGATCTTCCATTTTAAGTTATAATATTTTAGAATGTCGTTTTTCAATCAAGAAATTTAAGTTGCGGATTTACCTCTTTCTTATTATTTTTAGCATTTCGTCGCCGATGACTATAATATGGTAACATGATTTTCTCATTAAACTCATAATTTCCCACGAGAACAAAAAAGCAATTATCGTTGTCATTGTGGAACAATACATGTATATGCCGAAGGAATTTTTTGATTTAGGGAGAATAAACACCGGCGTAAAGATGTTTAAAAACACGCCATGCTGATATAAACAATCGGCAATTGTAACAAAATGCAATCGCGCACGTTATTAGCGACCTTTTAAGTCTTACGAAAATGTCAAACGGGAAAAGATTCGACCCCAATTTATTAATATGTTTGTCAAGTGTCAAATTTACAGGTTCAGTATATATAATTTATCTTTGAAATTTAGATTTATATATGACTTGTATTAACCCTATTAAAAAAGGTTTAGCATTTAAATTAAGTAAAGTAGTTAATTTACCCAGGAATATTAATCGGAAAGTAATAATTTTAACATTTATTTTGGGGCTCCGTGAATACTAGTCAACCTTTTCAAGGGCTCCGCAACACCTGAAGTTTGAGAACCCCTGCCTTATGCCTTCGTTGAAGATAAAAAACAATAGACTCCAGATTCATGAATCTATCAATTATAATAACACTCTAACTAAATACCTCTGAAATTATAAACAGAAGGGGGGAGTGCTTGAAAACCTCCGGAAGGGATTTCCTCCATGAAAGGGCACCAAACTTTAAAGACTGAAAATATACGACGACTCCGTAGTCAACCAGAAAAAAATACATCCACAACAATAAAACGAGAATATCGGTCAGAGACCGAAGACTTATCGATCGAAAGTTAGGGGATCCCCAAAACAGCGCTCTAATTCCATAGTGACACCGTGTGTCCCATCACTAATTAATTAATAATTCGCTAATTATACGACATAATTCATCCAAAATCAATAGGCTTCTGGTCCGAGATATGATGAATGCACATGCAAAATCTGGAGCAGATTCAATCTCGCTTTCGTGGGATATCGCGTGCATCTAACAGACAGACAGACAGACAAATACCTATCAACATACTTACCGATTAAAACCGATAAGTAAAAAGAAAGCTACAAAAAAAAATTTTTTTTTTTCAGTATAGACTGGAGGGAGCTGTACGACCATGCAGTCATCTCCTAAGTTTGTGCTCATAAGTTAACAGTAAAACAAAATTTGAAAAAAAGAAAAAAAAATGTTAACATGTATTTATTATACAAATGCACATGTTGAATATACATACAGTAATATAGAATAAGTTACAAAACTAGCAAACTAAATCTCATATGCAACCAAGGAACCCAGTAAGAAAAGGCGTTATACCTAAATATGATGCAATCACAGATTAAAATCCTATGTTTTACAAGCTATCAATGTGTATCCAAAAAATTGGATAGGCGGGATGGAATATTTTGGGTCGTTTGCAGGTAAAGTGGTTTCACCCACATACGTGACTGCTTGTCCATGGCCGTGTTCAGAGATAAAGACGTCAACGCGCCATTTTTAGAATGATCGAGCCCCTTCAAAAATGGTAAAATTAATTTTTTTTGATAACAGCATCAATTTTGAACATTTTCATTTGGAATTTAACTTTTAAAGAACCTGTAGGTCATGTTCGTATAAGACAGGCATAATAGTCTTTTGACAAGGGTATAGATTTTTTAGATAACTATAGCCATTGAGGGATTCAGGGAAATGTAGCCTCCTTATCAATAGGCAATACTTCACTAGGAAGACATTTGAATCCGAATCCATGAAGATTTGAAATAATGTTCAGTGAGCACTAGAAGTGTAGGTTGTGACCTGTGAACAAAGAAAGAAGACAATTCAGTTGGTGCAAAAGAAAATTTGTCACCAGCGTTGGAGGCAAGAGTTATTTACTTTACTTTTATCAAAGGTTCGAAGGGGTTGAAGTCGTCCAAAAATGAAATGACTCGTATGACCTAATCTAGAATAAACAGGGTGGCCATAAAACAAATAGGTATGATAAATTTCTTGATTACTTATATTATAACAAAGAAAATTTATTTAACACTTGAACTTCTCTTCATGTAGGAGTGTACCTAAAAGTTTCGGAACTCCCGAAGTATGTGAACCAAGATGACGGACAACGGAACGTATAATGTCTACCAGGTTAGGCCATAATTTCAGGTACAAATGCTACGGGAGTCACCTGGCTAGTCCCCAAACTCGTAATAAAGACTAAAATAAGAAAAATTGGATTAAAAATATGGCCTAACCCTAACTGATACACATACTACGCTCCGGTGTCCGACATCTTGGTTCACATACTTCGGGAACGCCAAAGTTTCGAGTAATCTAGGATGATTTGCACAAAAGTATGTATTTTTAGAATAAGTTCCAAATGATATGGAGTCTGTTTTTTGCAGTTATCAGTCAGTCAGTCGGTTGTTTATTTTTCACCAAAATGAAAATGCACTTACTGTGAACAAAAATTAGAAAAAAAAGTTCAAAATGACATTTCACGGTGAAGTTTGACACGAAAAACCAAAGTTGGTGATCGAGCAGGTTTAAAAGAAATTAGTCGAACAATATATAAATTAAAAATATTCAAGTCCAAAAACCAAATTTGTTACAGAAAAAAGACCCCGGGCACCGTCAAGTACGGGAGGGGTAACCATGGGCAACGAACAGCATAGCAACGTCTTTCACTTTGGCAGCGACACAGTCAGAGTAGAAGAACCATTCCTGCATTATAGAATCTTACCTCTTCGTATAATGCCACTAATTGCTCGCTTGTGTAAATGATGTATCTCCTCACCTCTCTTCATGACCTATCCATCAGAAATGTTTTGGTTTGACCGTCAACTGAAACATAACGACAAATTATTTATTACAAGTTGGGATGGCATAGATATGGCAAAGGTTCATATAGTTTGGGTTGACAAATCCCCTCCGTGTTCTATGTTTCTAATATCCCGATATATAACGAACAATTCCTCTAAAATTGATTAAATCCAAATATCAGTCAGACAAAGTGATCTGACAAACAATAAAATGTAACCATTGAAATAAGTGTTACAAGCAAGCAAGCATAATACATAGCAAAAATACCAGTTACATTTAAATGACTTTGTCAGAAAAGAAAATCCCAAATACTGTATTTATTTTAGGAGCTTAAAAAATATATAATTCAAACCCAATGACTATAGCACCATTAAATACCTTCATAAAACATATCATAACATAGACTGGAATACACGACAGTTAGCCATATCAAGACGTAAGTGTGCCATCCATAAACACAATAAAAGTAAATAATATCAAGGTAAATCAGTCAAATGTTTAAACTACCCTAGATCGTATAAAACTCTACAATAAGCTTGATTTTTCCAAGTATGGAGCCTGACATTCTTAGATTGTCATGGATGATATTGAGGCTGGCACGTACAAGACACATTCAGGGATAGGATGGGATTATAGAAGTGTTCACAAGCTTCATTTGAACTCAAGTAACCTTTTACCAAAGATTACTTAAGTGGATTAAAGGATTCAGACTCATGCCCCCACTAACCGTCAATGAGGCTTATCACAGCGTTTAACATCGGGATCGAACATGACTCGAGGCTGTGATGTCTTGTTGCTCAACTCAGTATTTGGGATTTACCCAACACTATAATGACACATAAATTTTGATCATGTCATATCTTTTCAAATTTGACTCATTGCTGTTTTCCAGATTGTATTGAACTGCTTCGAGTCTCAAATCAATCGACCCTGCTTTGACCGAATATTCTTAGAAAAAAACTACACAAATTGATAACCCATAGACAAAACTTGTAATTTTCAAAAAAGGGTAGGTTTTTCAAGGAATGGAATTCACGGGTCACCAAGAATTAGACAATATTTAGGCTGGCTCCATTCAAGCATTGGAAGATTATTTTAACAGGGGTTGGCTAGTTGCAAATTATAAAGTATTTTGTTCAATAAGTAGGGCTGGGAATTGTTAACATTAGCCTTTGTGCTACGCCAATACCATCAATTCATTACCTAAATGTGTGGTTTTGAATGGTTGTGATTGTCACGCAAATAAAAATTTACCAACATACAACTGGAGTATAGAAAACACTTGGAATGTGAATTTGCTTCAAAGTAAAGCAAAATGCTTGGCAATTAATAGCACACACACATGCACAAACAAGATAAATGAAGCATTATTAAAGACACCTTTGGAAAACATGAGCATTATTGTTCATTAACAGCAATATATAATCAACCAAGGATGATTTTAATGGTATAGATTAACACATGTTGCGGCATATAAATATTAAAGGAAGAAAATCTACCCATCGCATACTGACGTACCCAGTAAGACACGCTCCACAAAGAAGTGTAGTTAACCGTGAAAAAAATAATATCACTGTATTACTTCACAATACTGAGAAAAAAGTTTCGGATGCGGACTGGCGGTCATAAATGGTATTTATTCCACAACACTGGGAAACGATATTTGTGAACAGTATAGACTGAAGACAGAATGATGGAACCAATAGATTTAAAAGAAAATACGAAAATAACAGGAAAAACTAAAATACCTGGGCTATATGAAGGAACAATGACAGATGGAATTGTAGGAGACAGAAAAGTTCTTATCAAGGTCGATTGTTATATTGAAGAAAGAGATAAAAGAGAAGCATTCAATTTAGACAAAGTAGAAGAACATTGCAATGTAGCTACTCGTCTAGACTCTGGTTTCTTTGAGAACGGTCAAATTCACAATGGTGAAAAATGTATCTATACAGTCATGCCATACTACGGTGATAAAACACTCAATGATGTTGACCTTTCTACATTAGGTGAGGAAAATGTAAAAGATATTTTGAAACAATTGACAGATGGATTGAGTTTCATTCACGACAAAAAAATAATTCATAGAGATCTCCGGCCCGAGAATGTGTTCTACAAAGTGGATAACGGAAAGACCACAGTTGTAATTTATGGATTTGGACTCAGCAAGGAAATCCTGCATGCGCCGCTATATAATAGCAGTTTCACAATAGATAAAACCACAGATTACAGTTCACCAGAGATGCAACCAGACTCCAAATTGGATGTCACTGAATCTACAGATGTTTTCTCACTTGGAGGGATTTTTTATTTCATTCTATCCGAAAGAAAACATGCTTTTGGGGATGAGGTGAGTTCCAGATCCCATAATATCGCGAACGATAAGCCAGATTTAACCAAATTGAAATGCAGTGAAGCTGAAATTGCAGAAAATCTCATTCGAAGAATGATAAATAACAAAGCAAGTCAAAGACCAACAATGGAAATAGTGAAAAATCATCCCTTCTTCTGGAGCAACACAAAAAAGCTTAATTTTTACACAAAGTTATATAAAGCGACAGAAAAATTGCCTAAAAAAGATGGCATAAAAGGCGAATTGCATCACATCAACCCAATGTCTGGAGCTGTAAGCATTAATAATGAGAAGAATTTCAAAAACAATTGGTGTGAGGAATTGCAACTGTCCACCGATGAATGCAATCTGTACGGCATACCAGAGGACCAAGCTGGTTGCATGAAAGGCCTCCTGAATTATGGGGGATCAAATAGCTACGATGGCAATTCCACATACTCATTACTCCGTTTTATCAGACACAGAATAATTCACACAGATAATGCTTTGGTGAAAATAATTTCGGCGAATGACAAATACTTGTGGGATTTTGTTGTAAAAAGATTCCCCAAACTCCTTTCCATTTTGATCGAAAGAGTTACAAAGTCCCAGGATAAAAACGTTGACTATATAAAACAATTTTATTGTTTGTGAAGCTATCAATTTACAATGATTTTATTGAATATAATTTAGGTTTTAGGGATGTAGCTATGTACATCCCTTATAGTAATAATAATATCTTTTTAGTCTTTAATCATTTTCAAACAGTCCCTTATTTGGGAATTCAGCTTTGACATTGATTCTAATTTCAATATATTGAGTTTCATATTCTGTTTATAGCTTTATCAATGTGTTGCATTTGTTCAAACTTTATATTTACTATACCGTTGCTCCAAACCTTTCTCTTGTGTTAACCAGAAATGTGCAACCTAGCAACTCAACTATTTTTATCTAATTTATATACCAGTTTTGATAATTTTCAAAGAGATTTTAAGCTGGTTATTGAGCCTCTAGCTTAAGAAATGACCCAGGAAGAACATAATTAGTTTGTTTAACTATATCTCTCAAAGTTAGGTAAAAACTGATGTAGGGATTGCACATTTACAAAAGTGAAATATCTTTATTGAATTGAAATATTTTTATCTGTTAGTCTAATAAGTGTAAAATGTAACATATTTTCTTCTTTGTTTTATTATACAGTTAAAAAAAACAAAAAATAATGACCAATGTTAATTTGTGCACCTACCGAATTAGAATTGGCATGTTCCGGGGTGGGATGAGGTCAAAGGCAAATGCTTCTTCCTCCTTCATTCTCCAATTACTTCCTCATTCATCACGAATGGCGCTGGCAATAAGAATCGTCTTTTTTGCTCTGCTTGCTATGCACGGGATTGAAAAAAATCCTGGGCCGAGATCTCCTGAAAGAAAAGCAGAAGATAATAATTTGACACCACGTGACCAAGGTTTGTTTATATGTTGATAGAGCAGTAATGTCCAATTCCTCAGACATCCTTAGTGTTACGTCTTGCTTAACCTAACAAATAGAGAAAAAATGAGTATCGACTTCAAATAAAAATGACATAAAATCAAGAATTTCCAATCATCGAATATACGGTAACTAATTTTAAAATTTGGGTAAAGCAATGGGTACTCCCAAAGTATGTAAACCAAGATGGCGGACACCGGAATGTAGTATGTGTATCAGGTTAGGGTTAGGCCATAATTCCAGGTACAAATACTACGGGAGTCATTTCACTAGTCCCCGAACTCTTAATAGAACTAAAAAAGGGAAATTTTGAATAAATTTATGCCTACCCCTAACCTGGTACACATACCAGGCCCCAGTGCCCGTCATCTTGGTTAACACACTACGAAGTACCAAGCAATGGGCAACAGGCAGAACAAAGAATATGCAAAAACATAAAAGAAAAGTCTCATAGTTCCGTGTAATGGAAATCTAAAAGTTGGCTGCATTGTTGAAGAAACTTTACCTAACAACCAGGATTCAAACATGTAATCTATATTTTGCGAGCACTAACTAACATAAATATCATTTCGAATACAGCGGAGATGGATTTGTTACACCAAGAACCAATTGAGCCATTTATAAGCGAGGGGAGAACAATTGGAGTTCCTGCCGAACAGACAAGAGAAACGATAGATGAAGCCCTAATTGGTAAGTGAATGAAAATATATAATATTTAAAGTATTGCCTCTGATATCATAATAAGTTTTATTTAAGTATTGCTTCCAAACCATGATAAGTCATATTTCATCTTCATATTATACTGCTATATCACAGCAAATATGTCAATTCTACAGGACGTTGGAAGTTTCTCCAACCTTGGTCCGTAAAAATTCTTCCTACACTTCAACCATTGCAAAATTCTGCATGCCTATTATGAGAATTGCAAGTGGGTGCTTACAACATTTATCATATACATCAATTTGATTCCTAATTTTTAACCACCTGCTATTTGAAAGTATTGACAGCTGAGTTGATTTATCGAAACTTTGTTGAGACTAAATTTTAATTTCAGAAAACTCAACGAGAAAATGAAAATAAAGTTACTTGGTTATACATAAATTTCACAAATTGACAAATAGCTAGAAAAACAACAAAGACATGAAAATGTTTGAAAGCACACATGGAACTGTGTCACATTGAAAAGAATGTAGGAAAATTTTATTTTGCGAGCACCAATCTATAAATTACTAATGCAAACATCATTTCCAAAACAGATTTGCAGAGTCAAAAATCAATAGAGTCATCTACAAGTGAAGAGGAAGCAACGGGACCTCCTCTTAAACTACTTAAAAGGACGAAAAAAGAGGATTTGTCTGGTAAGTGAATGAAAAGCTTATAATATATTAAAGTATTGCTTCCGATGCATATTATCTGTCAGATTCTAAAGAAGGAAAGGTGTTTCATTTATCCGAATTTATTTATAATTATTAATTTATGAAAATTTACATGCTCAAGCAATCCTAGATTGCTCAAGCAATCCCGAATAAATAGTAGATCATTTTGTATAGTTAGTGATCTGTGGCAGCATGCACATAGCCTTGTTCGGAGCAAAAGTCGTCAAGGAGCGTGATATAAAAATTCTGTATACATCTCCAGTCAGTATTATTAATTCTTGCTCAAGCTAACAAATAATGAATAAATGTTAGCTGCGAATAAGAATGTTGCCCATTCACAAATTTTCAATATTGAATGTCTGATTTTGAAATGTAGCTAAAGCACTGGGCAACAGGCACACCAGACAATATGTGAATTAAGAACGCCTCACAGTTCCATCTAGTGGAAATTTAAAAGTTGGCTGCATTGTTGAAGAAACTTTACCTAACAACCAGGATTCAAAGACGTATTCTATATTTTGCGAGCAGTAACTAACATAAATATCATTTTCAATACAGAGAGTATGGATTTGCCACACCAAGAACCAACTAAGCAACTTACGAGCGGGGGGAGAACAATTGGAGTTCCAGACCCACAGACAGGAGGAACAATAGGTCGTTTCAGCAATTTCTTTGGTAAGTGAATGGAAGCACATAATATTTCAAAGTACTGCTTCTGAAACCACAACAACTTTAAAATATTTTAAATGTTTCATTTTCATATACAGTATACAAGTATATAACAACAAAAATGTCTGATACTACCGAACTAAAATGGTATTTTATTTATCCGGATTGATACAACAGGTCATATCTGAAAACCACAAATTTTGATTTTCGTTCCAAGTTTACATGCTTGGGTTGGAATATGATGTCCACGATCTTACCCACGGCGTAATATATTAGGTAATCTATGAATTACTAACAAAAATATTACTTCTAAAGCAAATCAGATGGATTTGTTGGGTCAAGAACCATATAGATGGAAGACGTTTGGTGATTCAATCCAAATCAACAAAGAGAGAGGGGAGATGACAGAAAGTAATTTAACTAGTAAGTGAATGACAAGCTTTCAAAATTTTTATATTTCCTTGCAAATTACAAGGAGTCTCAATTATTTTCAAATGTTTTATCTTTTCTAGGTAATGCACAGGTGACAGGCATAACCGGGACAACCATTAAGAGTGAGTTTTGTTTCTTGTCCATTATGGAAGAAACATGGGAATACAAAAAAACATTAGTTACAATTTAAGTACAGTGATCCCTCAGTAGTCTAGCGTCTCGGCAAACACCAGAGCCAAAACGGGCATGCGCCCAAGTGAGATAATGTTCCCCTAACCGCAAATCTCCGAGTTGAAAAAATAATTTATTGTGAAATACGAGAATGGTGTCTAGAGTGTCTGCACCCGTGGCGAAATCTATCATTTCCATTTTTGACAAATAGGGAAAGTTTAGGCCCACTTTTGTTAATATTTTTTCGCATTTTGGAATGTGGAAAAGCATATACCACTGTTTCTTACAGCAAAAACATGTCGCTACTTGAACAAATCAATAGCCGAACACAAATCCCGAACAAATTATGTTTGACTACTGAGATATCACTGTATTTAGAATATTTTTATTCGATTGATTGTCATTATTTTTAAACATCTGACAGTCAGATAATTTCATTCAAGTTTAGATACCTGTAATATATATCTGACCAACCAAAATAACATCAACCTTAATGTTTCTATTTTATGAAGTTATGTGTCACTCGATCCAACTAAGATCCAATCAATCTTGCCTTTTTTAGATTGTGGCACCAAATTTTGGAAAAAACTTAAACCTGATATAGAATTACAGACAATAGTTATTATATATTATTCTTAATAATCACAAAACATTTTACGGTTTCTACTATTCATTGAAAGTCCTCAAACTTAATAACGCAAAACCTGCTGAATGTGACCGTTATCTGCATGCTTAATGTTTAGTTGTTGCACAGAAGTTGTACAATATATCATACATATAAATGTATATACTTCATATTTTCAGTATCTCTCGCTGGATCATCTAATTCTAAGATTGTTATTGGAAACGCTAAGCTCCGGGTAGGGCAGACTCTTTCAGGTAAGTCAGTATTTATATGTGCCTGATCCTACCAGTTTATTAACATTTTCACAGCCAAAATAAATATACAAAACCATATGTACGAAATATACAGAACCATAGCCAGTTAATTTAGATAGAAAAAAATAGTTTGGATGGTTTTTAGTTACCGTATATTCCTGAAGAACAACAATATCTATAATAAACCACACATCTATAATGAACCACATTTTGTGGAATTGCCATCCAATCAATTTTTTAAACAAGTTTGTTGAAAGTAAGAATCTGAATCCTTATGTAAACTAAGAAAAGCTGTCACTGACATGCTAATATGGAGGCTATACAAGTTTATCCATATAACAAAGATGTCAAAAGACGGCTGATGTAATGGATTTGAATTATTTCAAGCAATACTGATTGAGAAATGGTTAGATGAAAAAAAATCCACAAATGTGAAATTCATGGAAAAAATTCTGCAAAAATATTTTGTTAATGTGTGCTCTGCAGTGCAAATTAGCAGCTAATGCATTGGAATTGCAACAATTTTTTTTAAAGAAACACAAGGGCAATAAATTTATAAAGACAATGGATTTTTACCCTCTCACTCCAACTGATATATTTGATTATTATTAACATGATAATTCCTGCCGGCCTTTACAAAAAATTTTGCCAACCCCTGGCATAGTCGGAGGATTCAGTCCTGAATATAAAACTGCAATGTCTATATTTTAGCATCCGGCACAAGCTCAAATGGATCAAGTCAAAACACACTAGAAAAAAAAAGAAAACTCACATACTCAGATGCAAAAAATCACAAAGATTCAGAGCAATTCAAAGGTATGTTTATGCATTCAAATAAAACTTAGAACAAAGCAAAAAAAATTTGTTTAAACTTAGTTAGCTGTTTTTTTCATGATTTACAGTGTCAAAAGTTTATTTTTTGTTAGACCATTAGACCATTTCGCTCATGTCAATAAATTTTCAAATGAAAATATGAATTCTTCGTTTTATTTTCTGTGATACAAATCACGATGCACTGAAAAAAAAATTCATTGTAGTAAGAAAAAGTCTTACAATGCATGCATAATCGTTTGAAAATCACTGAAGTATAATAATTCCAAGAAATGATGTAAACAAACATTGAAATTCACTAAACAAGGTTTCGAACCTATATTTTACATAGTAAAGCCAATAGATAAACTGTGATATCTAATTATTTGACATTCATTCATTCATCCATTTCATGTTTTCCAGTCATCGGGGGGAATCCTGAGCCAGTCGACAATCAAGCTGCTCCAGAAAGAGTGAGTAAATACAGATTAAATTTGGTGTCAATGTTATGAATGCCATACAATCTTAAGAAAATCAGTCGATGCAACTTTGATTTTAATTAAACAAACCCTAAAAAGTCTTTCATATACTGAAGTTTATGAATGGGGCTGTTGTTCTTGTTCGTGTGCACATCGGCTTGGGAAGCCATGTAAATACATTTAAAAAATTCACTTCCTTCAAACAAACCTCCTAATTCTTATTAATTTCAGGATGAAACAAGACAAAACACTTCAAGTGCAAACGCCAACATCACTCAAGAAAAAGAATTTTCATTTCCTAAAGGTCCAGATTTAATAGAATTGAAAAAAAATCTATGGTACAATAAAAACAAAAGATTATGCCATAGAAAACCAGTATACTATGGGATTCACAAGGTCGGGAATAAAGAACATGACGTCGTTATAAAGTTCATTCCATATGAAGACAACATGGATCCAATAGAGCTGAATGCAATGGCAAAACTGCAACACCCTAATATAGTCAAATACATGGACAGTGGGGATTACAACTTCACCCCTCTTGGAAAGCACTGGTTTATAGTAATGGAATGTTGTAATGTAAAAACATTAGAGCAAACCGCAAAAGAAAACCTGACTTGGGACAAGAGAAAGACTATAATGCTGCAAATTGCTCATGGCCTACATCACATGCACACTGAATACAAAATGCAACACAAAGACTTGAAACCGGCAAACATTCTACAATCAATCTGTGGTGAACACTTCAAATTGGCAGATTTTGGGTACAACGAAGAAATATTGAAAAGTTCCAACGCACCAACTCCAGAGCATGTAGGGACTAGAGGTTACAGAACACCAGAGTCCTATCTTGACGAACCACTCCTAACCAATCAATCTGACATATACCAATTGGGCCTAAATTTTTTTTACATCTTATCCAAAGGTTGCCATCTTTTTGGGCAAGTAAGTGCAGCCTGGGAGCATTATGCTTTAAGGAACAAATTGTCAGTCAAGAAGAAAAGCCTGGAGATCATTGACGGCCCGGATCGCGAACTTGCAAAACACCTGATGTTGTCTATGACGAGAGGAAATCCATATACTAAAACCTTGGAAGAAAAGGATTATACCAAACTAAGAAATGAACATCAAAAATACAGGGAAAATATGAGCAAAGAAGAATTAATTTTCGACAACATGCCCAGACCTTCTGTACAAGAAGTGCTGTGCCATCCACTTTTCTGGAGCTACGAAAGAAAGTTTGACTTAATCAGGCATTTGTCAAGGTCACTCAAAACTGGCAAGCAAAAGTTCGAAGATTCCAAATTATTGACTGAATACAAGTGGAAGGAAGCATTAGATGGGGAGAATGAAACACCTACCCAACTTGCTGAAATAACTAGGAGCATGGACAGTAACTGCTGTATGCTCAAAATTTTAGGTCGCGTTGAAGAATTATTTCCAGAAGAAAAAACTAGGAGTGAAATCATGCAGTTTGTAGAAAAGAAATTTCCAGGTTTCATTCTCGATGCTTATTTGATTGCCAAAGAAAAAAGTCTTGTCAAAAATAGTTTTTTCGAAGAAACTGCTCGAAATCCATCGGAAAACTAACATTAGAGTCTTATTTTTAATCTTGATTCGAGCACTGCAGTATGAAAATTTCAATCCAGAACTCTCATTCAGTTCCTCCAATTATAGAATTATGCGGATAACATTTCCATCAAACATTGAATTTAATAATCAGCGGTTGGTGTCTCCTGCTACCGTACAGCACAGTTTTCAGATTTCAAGAATACAGTAGCTGAATAGCCCCCACATGGAAAGACATTAATAATGACATTGAGTGCAAACCCCCCCTTTACGAGACCGTCTGACCCCAAACAGGCACTGCGCAATATACCGGTATTGGTACAGTCAGACAGTGGTACCTGTACCGTACCTACCATAAAAGCGCCTAACTTCAGACAAAATGACCTTACTTTCATCAATAACTCGACCATTTATTGTCCAAACATGTAATGTAATATAAAAACATTAGAGCAAACTGACAAACAAAACCTGACTTGGGACGAGATGAAGAATATAATGTTGCAACTTGCTCATGGCCTACATTACATGCACATTGAATACAAAATGCAACACAGAGACATAAAACCGGCAAACATTCTACAATCAATCTGTGGTAAACACTTCAAATTGGCGGATTTCGGGTTCAACAAAGAAATATTGGAAAGTTCCAATGCACTGACTCCAGAGCATGTAGGGACTATAGCCATAGGTT